GAATCTCTTTCAACCAGTCCAATGCTCCATCAAGATCATACTTTCCCTTGAAGGTACGTGGATTCTCTCTCTGGAAAGTCGCCAAACTACGAGATCCAGCATTCCCGTCAGCATTCTGTTGAATCTCCATCGCATGCGCCATTTCTTCTAAGGCAGCAGCAAGTGAAGCATCATTCCTTCCAGCCATCTCAACTTATCACTATAACATAAACAACAGTTAGAACACAAATTAACAATAATCGATTGTTAGACAACCTACGACTCGACAACTTGGTCAGACGGACCAACTTTGATTTGATACCAACTTTATAACACCCAAATTCTACCCGACAATTATAAATATAAATCAGAGTTTTAAAATTCATACAACTGAATCAGGATGCCACAAATTCAACTTAAAAACACATTACATTCAACGTGGATACATAACACTTTAAAACTTCGGATGAACCATCGGCATAATAATTTAATCTCTTAATTCAACAACTTGAACATATACGCAGCGGAATCATAATAACATCTTTGTCCAACATTACATCAACTTCAAAATACACATACTCCCTCTGTCCCAAATTATAAGAGAAATTTACTTTTTAGATTCATTGAATAATTAATGTATGGTCTCTATATAGACCAGATACATTAATTATTCAATGAATCTAAAAAGTAAATTTCTCTTATAATTTGGGACGGAGGGAGTACTTAGCAACAATAAAATTAATGTTCAACAACTAAAATAATCAATAATTAAAAGCACAAGCGTTCATCCCCCCAAGTGTTACGTATCAGAGCAATGATACTGACTCGAACTACTGAAAGTAGACCACCTTCACTCTGGATTACCTGCACATTACCAATATAAGGGTAACACTCAAACAGAAGGGGTGAGATATCTAACAATAGAATAAAACGTATGATAAATAACATGTTAGATCAACACATATAATAACTCTACTTCACATCTCATAAACAACAATAATCGTGACAGAATACCAACAATATACACATTTACCGCGTCATTACACAACTTCTTTTTGCAATCATATAATGCGACTCAATACTATGCAAGCATGTGGTACCATTGGAGCAGAACTCTCACCTCAAAATAATTTCCAATAAATAGAGGCATCAACAAGGCATAAACCCTCATCTTAATATTCGCCAATACAGGCCATCTTAACGAGCATCAGCCCCATCTTGATATGCAATGTATGAAACATAATCATGAATTTAGTAATGACAACCACAATTAACAACATCTCAATACAACATCATCGTTGGCCAGAAGCCTACATTTTAATAGCTGCCAATTATTAGAGGCATATCAACATCATGCATCAACATAATTCATCAACATGATTCATCAACATGATTCATCAACATAACTCATCAACATAATTCATCAACATAATTCATCAACATAATTCCACAACAACTCATCCATAACAACAATACAACGATATATCGACAATCTCTCAATGTTGGCCATATGCCTACAACATGATAATGCCTATAATTAATTAATCATCTAAGGCTCATCTATAATTACCAAACCTCTACATATTATTATTTTGTAATACTACATCATCATTATCATTATAAATCTTACTGTTATGAACAAATCATAATCTAAGATCGTCTTATCATCATCATACTTCACAAAAATCATCATAGCGATTAACGCGGGAAGCTAACTCTAATCCTGATTTAGATACTAGGATTATTTTTATTATCCTTCATTTTAATCCTTAAGAATGAAGTTCATCGCGTTAGCTATCCAACGCTTCAAACGGCACCTCAAACGGAGTCCAGAAACTCAAGTTACAGCCTTTGGAAGAATCTGTCAAAAATCAGACTGCATGAGTCGACGGATACTTCTTTGAGTCGACGCGTATTGGGTTGAAAACCTGCATGAGTCGACGCGTAATCCCCTTGTGTCGACTCATACTGAGTCTGAAACAGTGCATGTATCGACTCATGATCCTATATATCGACTCATCTCGAGTCCAGAAACCTGCGTGTGTCGATGCATGGCCTTTGAGGTCGACTCATATTGTTCTGTGATGAATATATTCTGCGATTTCACTGCGTTTCCACTGCGATTTTCCTGCCTTAGGCCCTAAAAACATCCTCTAATCATAGGTAAACATCAATTATAATAATCCTATGTTTCTACACTAATTATACAACATTAGGACATCATTATTCATCTCTAAATCATTGATCCTCATCAAACAACAATATATATATATATATATATATATATATATATATATATATATATATATATATATATATATATATATATATATATATATATATATATATATATATATATATATATATATATATATATATATATATATATATATATATATATATCATAAACAGAACAACTTTTCACATCTAATCCTACATACTACTCATCATAAACCCTATTATAGAGTTAGAACTCAACCCTTACGTTGGATTGAAGATTGCTCTATAATTCTTTTTCGATTGAATTCTGTTTTACTCTTTTCCTTCTTTTCTGCAACTTTTACGTTCTCTTTCAACCCTTATTTCCTTCTCTTCTTACTGCTACTTCTTTTTCCTTATTAATTCTAAATAACTAATATAATAACCATATAATTCTCATTATGTCTTAATTGACTTAAAACTCCTACACCCCATTTCTACTACTTCTCATCCTTAAAAATAAGTCCACCTCAAATAATATTATTATTCTAATATTATTCTAGAACTTAATAGAATAAATTAATTCAATTAATCACAACCCAACATCTATCATCATAACGCAACTTCACAATTAATCCAAAAATAATTTAATTAAATAATTAATTAAATTCCGGGCGTTACAAAAATCATACGATAGCACGAGTTTTTTGCTATTGCAAATTTCATATTGATTTCTAATGCGCCGATTTTCTAAATATTTTTTTAAAGACTTTTCATTGCTATTTTCATAATATACTATTTCAAATTATTCTATTTTTTTCCTTATATATAATTAATGTTTTTTACTAATTCTAAATTATGACTTTTAAATTATATTTTTCTTAATTCTATAATTTTTTTCTATTAATTATTTCTTATTCAATACTTATATTATATAATTTAATAATAAAGATTTAATATTCTCTTAGTCAAGTATATTAATCTAAGCGTTCTTTTTATTTCTCAATTTAACAACAGTAAATATTTGATCGTAATGAAAGACTTTGCAAACATAGATATATGAATAGATGCGAACGTATATATAAATATCAGCGATAAACCGTTCATTTTAATTTCCATCTTTTAAATATTTCTTTTTTACTGTTTATAATAATTCAATATATAATTTATTTTTGATTAAATTGTAGAATATTTTTAACAAAATCTGATTAACATTAAAGAGTTAATACTCTTTTGATCAAATATATAATCTAAGAGTTTTTTATTTTTATTTTTAAATTTAAAATTCGATACATATTATTAATTTATATTTATAATTATGTAAATCTTAATCAACTGAGAAATAAATTCAAATTTGATAAATGTGAATTCATATGAAATACGTGCAATAGCATCGATATATAATTAAAACACATGTATTAAATCATTAATTAATTAACTCAATTAACATAATACTATTTTATTTTAATATCAATACTTTTATCTGATTTAATGAATTTTAACATTTTGGTTTAAATTAATTAAATTCGTATTCACTAAATTTCTTTAATATCAAAATATTTAATGTTTTGTAATGAAAATTTATTATTAATTGATTGTGAAGTTATTAGCACTATTAATATCAAAATTATATATTTCTATTAATATTAGTACTATATTGTGTACTAAACAAAAGAATTAATGAAATGTTATATTTTTCTGGCCTACATAATCATTTTTATATTTATTTTTTATTTTTTTCAATATCAATATATATATATCGATGCTAAACTGATATATTATTTAAAATTTACTATTCAATTTTTTTTTAATTCTTTTTTATTAAATATTCATTGTTCTATAATTTTATAAATGCATCTATATTATATAATTGTTATGAGTAGTGTTGTTTTAAATTGAATTTTTTGATAATTTTATAATATTTAATATTAATAGTGCAATTTTAAAATAGATTGATTTTAATATACACGTAAATTAATATATATATATATATATATATATATATATATATATATATATATATATATATATATATATATATATATATATATATATTTTCTATAACTTTATACATACATAAATATCAAATAATTTGTTGCTATAAATAATTTTATTATAAATACTAAATAGGACCGTGCATCACAAGTCAAAGATCTAGTAAATATAAAAGTGTAATTTAGAAAAGGATAAACATAAATTTTAACCTAAGTAAGAGAAACACTTTTTATCAAATAATAAACATTTCATTGTATTTTATATCTCTTACAGTATATTATTTTTCTTTATGGTCTTATTTATAAAAAAAAATTACTTTAAAACTTGATTGAATAAATAATATATTTAATTTATATATTATTTAAATACATAAGTTATTCAATATATTAAAAAATAAATTTTTTCTAGAAATATTATTTTTGTACTCAATTCAATATTTCAAACATTTGTATTTGTCACCGAAAATAATAATTGCCAAGCGGCGAATATCGTAATTGCTGTCAATCATGAAAAGGACTCATAATTAGTACTAATAGACTAAACATGCAATTTGATAGTGACATGATTAACTAAATGAAAAATAATATCTAAATCTAACATTTATTTTCTTATACAAAAATAAATCAGTCTATGAATTAATTTTCATTGATTATTATAAAATGACTAAATTATTCCCAAATCTTAATCATTTGTCGCCGAATTGGACCACACACAAAAAATAGTGAGGACGAAATTGAATTTAAAAACCTTATTGTTATTTTAGTGAAACATGTAGATAGGTCTTTCATCCTCTTGAAAAGAACACAATAATTAAGAAAATTTCATTAATGCAGAAATTGAAGAAGAAACATGCTCTTGTTCTGAGACATGTTCCTGTTACTCTTTACACTTGTCTTCTCTTCTTCCTCATCCTCTTCACCGCTGCTTTCATCTCATTCTCTTCCCTCTGGGTTAGTTATTATCATTAGTTTCAGCTTATTACACAATCGCTTATTTTCTATTAACTTATTTGATTTCATGCATGCAGTCTACAGTTTCTACAACCAACACCAAACCGACAACAAAAACAGTCGCAAACCAAACCTTAGTAGCAAATGTTCCAAGCAGAGAAGAAACAATAAAACAAAGTTCAACGTTACTGAATTGTAGCAGAGGCAACCAAACAATATGTTCAAGCGATTATCCGACGACAACAACATCGGAAACAGAGAAGAACGAAGCTACATGTCCGGAGTATTTCCGGTGGATTCACGAGGACTTAAAGCCATGGAAGGAGAAAGGAATAAGCAGAGAGATGGTAGAGAATGCAAAGAAAACGGCGCATTTTAGGTTGGTGGTGAAAAACGGAAAAGGCTATGTGGAGAATTATAGAGAATCGATACAAACGCGAAGTGTTTTCACGATTTGGGGGATTTTGCAATTACTGAGGAGATATCCTGGGAAAGTTGCAGACATGGAAATGATGTTTGATTGTAATGATAAACCTGTGGTGCCCGTGGGCTTGTATGATGGGCCCAATGTTGCAGGCCCAGGCCCAGGCCCGCCACCTGTTTTTGGGTATTGTGTTGATCGGTGGACGCGGGACATTGTTTTTCCGGATTGGTCTTTCTGGGGTTGGTATGTTCCTAAATCCTTGCATGCTTTGCCTTTTTTGGAATTGTCAATTTTGCCATTCATTCTACTTCTATATACACTTGTCATTTTAATTGTTGTCTCACTATCTTGGATTCTTCTTTACTACTTTTTGTTGTTATGGGACTTGTCAACTTTACCATATCATAACTTTTATAAAATACAGGGGATTTAAGAATATACTCCTTATTTGATAAACAACTCTACTCGAATATAAACTCCTTTTCAAATTACAAAGATATATTTATTGCCCATTTCATACCATAAATGTAAAATAGGAAATAAAATATTTTTAGAATGAGGTAAGTTCTAAAAAACAATATATTTGGTCTATTTACCGTCTAAATACATTAGTTATTTAATATATTTAAAACGTGATTTATTTTATAAATAAAACTACATGAAATATTAATTAGAGAATATAATTGTAGTTAAAGAAATTAACGTCACATTGGAAACCGACAATCTTGTGTGATTCTTATTATGAAACAAAAATATAAATCGGGGATGTTAATTTGAATGTGTGCAAGGGAATTTCATCGGGGACTCCCCCATTTCGAGGCAGGTGGGGAAAGTCTTCCCGGATGTAATTTCTTCTACTTCGCTAAGACCCCCTTAGTTAATTTAATCCTTGGTCAATTAGAAGTTAAGGAAATTAGTTGTGAGATGTTATAACTAACTTTGTGAACAGTTACTAGTTATGGAAGTAGAAGTGCTTAATATATTAAAGAAGTTGAAACTTTGGTTGAAAATCAAATAATAGAAGAATTAAAATTCCGAGAGTTGATGGTGGTGGTGAATACACATAGAAGGCTTTTGAGTCATTTTGTATTGATCAAGACATATGACACATGATGTTATAACTCTCTATACACCTCAACATAATGGTTTAGATGAGAGGAGAGAAACAAAACTGTATGAGATATGACCAGATAAATGGTAAAGCAAAGAGGCATGCCTAACTCATTTTCTTGGTAAACAAAGCTATATTAGCTGCTAAAGGATTTCTTCAAAGAGTTGGTCTTGACTCTTGACTGTTCAGAAGTTTATGCTCATATAGATATAACTTGTAGTAATAGCTATTGCAAATGCAAGAGCATGTTGGTGCACAAGGAGAGATGAAAGATAAAAGGAATATATTAAATGATAATTATAAAATAAAGAGTAATCGATACATTGACCTACCCACTACTAGGTTATTTATACATAATATTAGGGTATAATAAAATACTAAAATACCCTCTAGCAGACTTAGTCAACAAGACATTCCTAAAATATAAATTATTTCTAACATCATCCCTTAATTTATATTTACACACAACTGACAACACCAATCTCATCCCTCAAACGAAGAAATTGATCAGTCTTGATAGTCTTTGTTAGAACGTCCGCCAGCTGGTTCTGAGTGCTACGATGCACAACTTCTAATATTCCACTCTAAACCTGATTCCTAAAAAAGTAATACTTGGTCTCAATATGCTTGCTCATCCCATGCAACACTGAGTTCTTGGCAAGATTGATTGCATACTTGTTATCAATCATCAACTTCAGAGGCGTGTTTACCTTGATCTTCAGATCCAGCAGCAAGTTCAGAATCCACACAGTTTGGCATGCAGTCAGAGGGTCTGCAATATATTCAGCTTCACATGTTGACAGCGCAACAACAGGTTGTTTCTTGGAACACCAAGAAATAAGATCTCTCAGAAATTTGAATAAGTACCCAGAAGTACTTCCTCTGTCAACTTTGTCTTCATACCAATCAGAGTCTGAATAGCATATCAGCTCTGCATCTGATCTAACACTAGAAGGGAATAACACTCCATACCTCAGTATCTTGCAGCTTGTCAAACTCTGCAAATCTTCTTGGTATATTTTTGACTCTATGTGGCCTTTGAACTTGTTCAGAATCTTCTTTTGATTTTGGAACAATATCTCCTTCTGGACTTTCTTCAAAAGTTTGACTACCACCAGAAGCTCCACCTTTGTTAGCTTCTAAACCTTGTTCAGAACCATTACCTTCAGAAATATCATCTTCAAAAGTTGGATCACCTTCAGAAGCTCTGCCTTCAGAAGTTCCACTTTCAGAATCATGATCACCGTCAAAGGTTGGATTACCTTTAGAAGCTCCTCCTTCAGAAGGTCCACCTTCAGAGACATGATTTCCACCAGAAACATGATCATCTTCAGAAGCTTGTCCTCTAAAACCTACGTCTTCATATTTTTCTCTTCTAGAAGCATGACCACCACCAGATTTAAAATTTGGATCAGAATCAAATTCACCATCTGACTCATATTTAGAGTCTCTAGAAGATTCATCATCTTCTTACTCTAGATCTTCTTCAGAACTTTCAAGTTTTGACTCATCTTCAGAATCAAAATCTGATTCAGATTCTGACTCATCTTCTGATTCTTCTTCAGACTCAAAATCACCTTCAGATTCTGACTTGTCTTTAGCTTCAGAGTTATCTTCTAACTTTGACTCATCTTCAGAAACCTCAGATTCTAACTCATCTTCAAAATCTTCAGCGTCATCTTCTGATTCTGACTCATATTCAAACACTCCTTCAGAGTCAGAATATTCAGAATCATCTTCTTCCCCTTCAGAATCAGAAAATGACAATCTCACAGGTTCCTCATCAGATTCATAAGCCATTAATAACATAGGTTCTTCATCTGAATCTCCTCTGGCTATTTTTGCTTCTTCTTTGTTTGACCAACAATCTTTAGCAAAGTCGCAAAACCTATTACAGCAGTAACACTGAACCATTCTCTTGTCATGCTTCTCCTTTTCCTTCTGATGTTTCTTTTCATCAGAATAGAAGACTTCTGACTTCTGACTTCTGAGAACTACCACCATGTCTCTTCTGCTTCTGGACTTTCTTGACAAAAGAAGCCTTTAGAGCCTGCTCAACTTCCCTCTCAGAAGTTCTTTCAGTCAGATGCAACTCTTGCACCTCTAGACTGCTTTGCAGCTCTTCTATTCTCATGGTGTCCAGATGTTTAGAGTGTTCAATTGCTACCACAATGTAATCAAATTGAGAAGTTAAAGATCTCAATACCTTCTCTATGATTACTTGTTCAGAAAGGGTTTCTCCACAAGCTTTCATCTTATTAGTGATCAGAATCACTCTAGAGATGTACGTAGAAACCTTCTCGTTGTCCTTCATGTTGAGATTCTCATATTGCTTTCTTAGGGATTGAAGCTTCACCTTCTTCACTGATGTGTCACCACCGTAGCATATGACCAGTGGATCTCATGCAACCTTTGCTGTTTCAAAGTCAGCAATCTTCTCAAACACATTCACATCCACACAATGACGGATGTAGAATAATATTTTCTGATCTTTCTTCCTTATCGCCTTCTGCATTAATTTCTGTGTCTCCTTCGCGTCTACTGCTAATGAAGCATAGTCGTCGGTGACAAGATCTAACACAACTTGAGAACCGAACAACACACGCATCTGGATCTTCCAACAATTCTAGTTTTTGCCATCAAATACTGGAAGTCTGGAACTGATACCATTGTTTCCGTTCATCTTCAACCTTGTGCAGTTCACTCAAAACTCACTAACACACAGTGTTTCTCAAATCTTACAGAATCAGAAAAAATGTGATTCTCAATCACACAACACCTCACTGTTCACTCGTGTTTCCTGTGGATTTCGAACCGGAGCTCTAGATACCAATTGTTGGTGCATAAGGAGAGATGAAAGAAAAAAGGAATATATTAAACGACGACTATAAAATAAGGAATAATAGATACATTGACCTACTTACTACTTGGCTATTTATACACAATACTAAAGTATAATAAAATATTAAAATACTCTCTAACAGACTTAGTCAACAAGACATTTCTAAAATATAAATTATTTCCAACAAAGACTAGTCCATGTTCCACTTAGATGTAAAGTCACTGTTTTTGAATGAGTCTGTCGAATAACACATTTTGAAACTCAACCATGTTATCAAAGGCAATGTATACATGGCATATATATTAGTAGGGACCTAGAGCTTGAAATAAAGGAATAGATGACTTTCTAGTGCATCTAGACTTCTACAAGTGTAAAACCGAGTATAGCGTGTATATGCAAGAAACAACATCAACTATAACTCAGATGTGCTTGTATGATGATGATCTATTAGTATCTAGAAGCATCAAGACTAAAATCAGAAGGTTCAAGGATCTCATGATGTTTGAATTTGAGACGATTGACTTAGGTATAATGTTCTATTTCTTAGGAATGAAATTTTTTAGAACCTCAATAGGGTTGATGTTGCATTAGAGAAAATATGCCGGTGAGATTCTTAATTGGTTTAACATGAGTGATTGTAGTCATTCAACAATACCTATTGAAACTAATCTCAAGTTAAAGAAAGGAGGAATAAAAGAAGGTGGATTTCACAATTTTGAAACAGATTGTAGGTTCACTAAGGTATCTTTGCAATAGCATGCTGAATATATGTTTTGTTGTAGGCTTGGTTAGTAAGGTTATCGTTGATTCGAGGAGATCTCAGATAAATACAACTAGAAGGATCTTAAGTTGGTTGGTAGGTGTTATAACTAACTTTGTAAATGGTTACTAGCTATGAAAGTTAGTTATTTTTGAGAGATAGTCTATAAATGATGCATGTACCCTTCTTTGTATGTTAACTCAATCACATTGAATAATATTTACTATTCTTCTCTCATCTTTAATCTCATATTTTCATCAACCTTTCCTTCCTTCTATTGTCATATTAGTTGTGTTCATTTAAACTGATTAATCTTGCATATAATTATATTCAGGCCAGAGATTAATATAAGACCATGGGAGCATGTATTGAAGGAGATAAAAAAGGGAAATGAAAAGGTGAAATGGGTAGACAGAGAACCTTATGCTTATTGGAAAGGAAATCCTTATACAGCAGCAACGCGACTAGATTTCCTCAATTGTAATGTTTCAACTGATCATGATTGGAATCTTCGTATATTCACACAGGTACGTACATACATACACACATATCTATATCTATAGATTCTCTTATTACATTCAACAAAATGATGATATACTATTTTCCTTTAACATGTAGGATTGGATTCAAGAGTCTAAACAAGGATTCAATAACTCAAACTTGGCAGACCAATGTACATACAGGTACTTCCATTTGCTGACATGTCATGTATTTTTTTTTATCTTAAAGTTCATATTGATGTATTTGATTTTCCTTGATATATATCAGATACAAAGTTTATATTGAAGGGTATGGATGGTCTGTGAGTGAGAAATATATTCTAGCATGTGATTCTCCTACACTGTTTGTGAAGCCTCGTTACTATGATTTCTTCACAAGAAGTTTACAACCATTGCAACATTATTGGCCTATAAAGGAAAATGACAAGTGCAAATCCATTAAACATGCAGTTGATTGGGGCAATAACAATAACCAAAAAGTTAGTATCATTGCATCCTTTCATCTCTCTCAACTTGAAATGCAGATAATAATGCGTAACAACTTGACAGGTACAAGAAATTGGTAAAGCTGGGAGCAAGTTTGTTCATGAAGAGCTCAAGATGGATTACATTTATGACTACATGTTTCATTTACTAAATGAATATGCGAAACTTCTCAAGTTTGAGCCAAAAGTGCCTGAAGGAGCTGTGGAGTTGTGCCCTGAGTCCATGGCTTGTGCTCGATCATATTCGGTGGAGAAGGAATTTATGAGTGAATCCATGGTTAGGGAGCCGTCTACGAAAGATCCGTGCTCGTTGCCGCCTCCATTCGAGCCCATGTCGCTCAGGATTTTCTACGCAACGAAACAAAATTTAATCAACCGTGTGGAGCGATGGGAAAATGAGTATTGGAGAAACTACCAGTGAGCAAATACACACTATACACATTAAGCAATAGTAACAAAGTGTTGAAATTAATTGATTCTAAGGAAACAAAAACTTAGTACATCAAGTTTTTGTCTTTGATGTGTAATATGATGAAGATTATGTCAAGTTTTTGTTTGGCAAACACTTTCAAGAGTTTGCTCGACAAACTATTGTGCTGAGGTTGGTCCAACTACGCTCTCACATTAATAGAATCATATCTGATCGAGTAACTTTTTTGTACATGCAAAAATAATGTTGGTTCATAAAAGTGAAGAAAATGACAAATCATTGATTCATTGTTGTTATGAAAATGAGAAGAAAACGATATGAGAAATTGACTGACATAAGAAGAACTAATGAGGCAGTTAATAATATAGCATCACTCAGAAAATAAATTAAATAATTAACAATATGAAACTGAATTTAGCAGAGAAAAAAAAATTCAAACGAGACATTTCTATAAGAAGGAGGGAGTAGTTCACAAATCTTTTCACTTGGACAACATATCACTTTTTTGGCAAATCACTGAATTTACCATGTTGATAATTGATGTATCTATCTGGTTGGAATATTGTCCTTTTAAAGAGCTAATTTATTTGTACTTCGATTTTTATCTTTAAAAATTTGTATCTCATAATAACTTTCGCTTTTATTTATTTTACATAAATTTTAAAAAACAATAAATGAAAAAAAGGCAATTTTATTTTATAATTTTATTAAATGATTAATTTATTTTTATTACGATGAATATAAAGTGAATGATTAATAGCTATTTACATAAAAAAATTTACTTTTTTAATTGACCTGGATGACCAAGTGACTTTTTATTTTAACTTTTTTAATGTCACGTTGGTATTTTATTTTATATTCATTTTTAGTTAATACGAGAAAACATATTATTTTCTCAAGAATTTGATGGAGGTGGGGATTGAACTCACACCCTTTTCTTCATAGCACCCGCGCCTTATTCATTGGACTGGCTATTTCAATTTGAAATATCAATGTATTGGATGGTTGTTATAGTTAAAGCCATGAAGCCACAAGAAATTTTGAGGACCAGATTCATCAACTTCTCACGTTTCTTCCCACATTCATCAACTTCTCACTTGAGTGTAGGAAAAGCATCGAGCTTGAGGTGGCGGTAACACAGGGCAGTCTCATGTATCTGAATGCATTTGCAACATCAAGTGATAATATGTCAAAATGCAATCATATAAGCATAACCGTAATAATTTCTACATAACAAGTCACAGAGAAAGGTTCATAAAGAAATGTATTACCCCTGAAAATGGTTGCCAGTGCCAACTTTCTGTAGGTTGCCACGTACTCTCAGCATTCAAATATTCACTAGTTCGACGGATTTCAATTCTTCATCATGCTCTCCACCTTCTTTTTCAATGAAGCAATTAGTTTACTCTTGGCGAATACTCTTAACATTCAAATTTTTACAAGTAGTTTCGAAAGATTTAGATTCTACATCATGTTTTACACTTTCTTTTTTTGCTGAGAAATTAGTCTGCTCGTGGCAATCCCCGTCGTCTAGTAATCTTTCCACCTATTTCAATTGTGGGGTTGAAGGAGCTGGATAATGCTCGTGGTCATTGTCAGAAAACTGAGATACATTTTCAAACTCAACTGAAGCTCTATTGTTATGTTGTTCATTGTTTGTTTGAAGCTGCAAGATGGAGACTACAAATTCCTTGACAAGTTTTAGTGATTCAGACAGGACCCTTACCCAACATTGAATGCCTGCTTGATTTAAACCATATAAGAATTATATTTCTCATCGTATGATAATCGTAAAATACATACATAATGTCATCAATAATAATTAACACACCTTGTGAACCACATGCTGCTAAATATTTCTGAGCTTGTCCTCAGATAGTGGTTTGCTGAGGAACTCATTTATATAGAGGGTGAGCATGAGAGATAAGAGAGAGAATGGTAGATGAGAGGTGGACGGAGTGAAATGATCTTTTTATAACAATTATTTTATACATTGATATTTTAAATTGAAACAGCTAGCCCAGTGGATAAGGCACTGGTGCTATGAAGGAAGGGACGTGGGTTCGATTTCCACCTCTATCAAATTTTTGAGAAAATTATTGGTGTAAGCGTTTGTTTAATGAAATATTAAGTGTGACTTAATCATGAGGTCCCATTAAACATAAGAACACTATTCTTAAAATATCAGTAGTCGAGCTTTATTGCAGAGATTATTATGAAGATAGACCGATGATCACACCTCATGGATAAGGAGTTATCAAGTCTTTACATATGTATGAATATTAGGAGCAATATTTATACTGAATTGACCCGCTATGAGAATACTACATAGAATATTATGCAAGGTGTCATAAGTTATTCTCATGGTGATAATGGTGTATACCACTCTTCGACCTGAAACCACTATGGACTTTAGATGTGGAGTTAAGTACTTTATTGCTGATCAAACATTATCCGTAATTGTATGATCATAAAGACAGTTGATAGGTACTTCACAAAGCATACTGAGGGACATGAGTGACTTAGATGAAATTTGTTCGTCCTGCATAACAGGATAAATGTCTAAGAGCCCAATATTGAACTGGACAAGGATGACACGATTTATGCTTTGTGTTCGATATAGACATAAGGGCAATAGGATAATTTTACACACAAATATTATCACAAAAAGGTTTTGTCAGATTACATTACATTTTCGTGACTTGGGTAGCAGTGATATATTGCTAGATACCGCTCACTGTTTATTATGTTAAATGTGTAATTTAATATAATTTTCAATGTCACGAAAACCTACAGGATCACACACATAAGGACAAATTGATGAGAGATAGAGTAAATAAGGAACACCGTAAGGTATCTTGCACTTTAGTGAAATATGGAATATGGTAAGGAACCACACGCTTAAGTGATATGCGGTATATCATAAAGTATGATACTCGTATGCTTAATTAAGTTTTTAGCTTGCAGTCTTAATTGGGATTTTAGCTTGCAGCCCACATAAGTGGTTCTATAAATAGAACCCTTGTGCTGAAGCATTTGACTTGATGAAAATTCGGTCTTAATTTCTAGCCGTATATTTTGTTTCATTCTCTCACTCAAATTTTTCGTTCGTAAGCAACTAGCACTGTGTCTGGAAGTGATTTGTTTGTGTGAACTGAGTAGAGACGTTACTATTCATCAACAATCGTGATTACAACATCAAAGGTCTGAATCATCACAAAAGTTAATGATTTCTATCACTATCCATGCTCATTCGTAAGGATCACTAAAGGAAAAATTTAATTTTCTGATGCGTTTTGAATCACAATTTTCCTTCAGTGGTATCAGAGCCACTTGGGAAACCATGAATCTGATAGCTGTTTATTTTCTATACATTATGTATTAATCAGATTAAAACACAGAATGAATTGAATAATAATTGAGTAAATTAAATTTTGGCATCATGTTGTGTACGGTTTGGGTGAATCGATGTTGACTATGCTTCTGAATCCAACACTAGTATGGTGAAGCAGTGATACATCAATCGTCCATTAGTTACACTAATATGATCGATCAAATTTGTATATGATATAAACAATTCTGGTGCAAAGATGGTATATTGGATATACTGTTTCCATTTCTTCCATTCAATCACAGAATGATTGTTATTCTTTTGAAAGATCATTGATCATTCTCTTCAGAATCCAATGTTAGTATGGTGAAGTAATGGTATATTGATCGATCATACTGAATTATCAATTGAGTTGTGTTTGACGGTATGAAATTATTTGCATTAGGGTTCATGACGGCACAAGAGTTGTGCTGTAAGAGAGTTATGCGGATTAGGATTGTAACAACACGAGTTGTGCGAACAATGACTCTGATTTCAAATGAATTGTTCATTAAATTTTTTCATCAGGGTGCTGCCCCTAACAACCCCGCAAGGAGGCCTGTCCTCTTGACCCCCATCCGCTGAACGGTCAGCGGAACCATCGTCCTCTGACCGGGCAGTGGAACCATCGGCTAACTCTGCATAGTGTGATCAATCGCTGAAATTTAATTTGACTTATTTAATTAACAGAATTTAAATTAATAATAATAATAAAGTGTTTATTATTGTTTTCTTGTGGTGATCGATTATAGCCTTAGATTCCTTTATTTTGTTTTTGGGATTTTAAAATACGACCCGCGTGTCGTGCCTTTCTCTTAATCTCTCTATGTAACTTATTTTCTCATCTCATTCCCTCGTATGTAAAACGAATATTCTTTTATGTAATGTAATGTAATGTAATTAAGAAAAGGAAGAAGACAAGATTGAAGGAAGACAACCATAGAGATCTATCTTGGAGAAGTTTAGATCGTTATTAGGTTAGCTTAGGTTCTCTCATTGGCTTGGGAGAACAATTGTGCTAGGGGCCATAACTGTATCCTTTTATATGTATGTTGATGCATGTGTTTGTATGCTGATGCATGTGATTATATGTTGATGCATGTGAGAGACGATTTGTATGTTAAGCCGGTGAGATCAAACTAATATCAAATTCCCTCAAAAGGAATATTAAGTTTATGCTTTCCAAGTTTTAGCACTCATCAAGACTAGTATTGAACAATGTAGGTTTTGCCTAACTCGAGGTGTATGTTTTATATTAGTAAGGTACGATGGGATAAATGTAATATCCAATTTCTAAAACACTGGGTCAAACTTAACTAAACAACTTATAATAAGATTATACATGTTTAGAAGCAAGAGTTGAGAATGATTCATATGATGAATTAGAATAAGGTGTTATTCTACCAACTGAAAATATTCGACAATTGTATGAGATACAATTGGAAGGAGTTTCTACCTGAGAAGAAGAAGCTTGAGAAGAAGAAGAAAAAGGATAAAGTCACGAATAAGGGGAAGGAACCAAGTCTTAAGCTCTTAGGACTTCTTGTTCAATATTCTCAAAAGGTGAGCACATTGATAGTGATTCTAGTGATGGAGAAGATTTAAATTGTCACTATGGTTG